GTTTAAAAGATAGGGTTTCGAGATCTACAAAATAGATGTCATTGCAATTCATAGATCTCCACAGCTTCTATGAATGTTCGTCTGCTTTTCTTTATGCATGTTTGAAAAAAACCAAGATCTGGGTTTGAGAAAAACCCAGTTCTCAAACCCAGATCTTGGTGTCTCCCAGCTTAGATAATTAAGCAGAAGCAGATTCACAATTTCTGTTTCTTTAAACGCCATCACCGTTGCTTCTTCCGGTGTTATCCTCGCTATCCATGGTGCCATCACCTCCACCATCACTCACGTCGCCATCACAGTCGTTGCCATTGCCTCGGGTGCTTGTTTCTCTACCAAGGTCGACTTCTTCTGTTTTTGGTTTTGTTTCTTTGTTTCTTTTATGGAGCAATTGTTTGTGGTCGTTTGTGGAGAATCTCTTTTTCTCTCAAGAACGAGCTAGCCACTGGTTAGAGCTTCATTTTTGTTCTGTTTTTTCGAACTTTTATGGTTAATTCTTGGTCCTGATTTTGCTACTTTTCTTTGTCTTGATGGAGCTAGAATTTTCAGTTCTCTTTAAATCAGTTCTCGCTGGTTTTTGTGCTGATTTCACTAGCATTTTGGGTTATGGTTTGCTACAGATCGAGTCTCTAGTGGTTTGGTACTGTTTCTTTTTTATTTATTCGCATCCACGTGATTTGTCTTGATTTGGTGAAATTTGAATGCGTGTATTCGAGGTTTTTTTGTTGGATTGTGATTTAGTTTCTCTTTTGTTATGTTTCAGTGGTGGCGGAGGAGTTATTTAGGTTTGAGAAAAACCCAGATTTGGGTTTGATTTGGAGAGGAAGAAGAAGGAATAAGAGAGAGAAAGTGAAAAAGGAAGAAGAGATGATATGGCAACTTTTCCACAGATGTGCCTTGTTTAATATAATGGAATGATTTGGATTGCTTTTTTTATTATCATCAGCTTCATTAGATCGTTAATTTATGTGATGAAACCCAGATCTGGGTTTGAGAGAAAAACCTAGATCTGGGTTTGAGAGAAAAACCAAAATTTGAGTTTGAGAAAGGAAGAAGAAGGGAGAAGAAAAAGAGAGAATAAGAAGAAGAATGAGCGAAAGTAATGCATTATTTTTTTTTCCTGGGTTTGAGAAAAACCCAAATCTGGGTTTAAGAAAGGAAGAAGAAGGAGAAAGGAAGAAGAGGAAGAAGAAATTTGACGTGGGTGAAAAAAAAAAAAAGAATTATTACTTTTAAATTAAATAAAAATGCCAACTCATAAAAAAATGGCCAACTATACTTTTTTTTTTCCATGTCATTGATTAAGAAAAATAAAGAATTGATTTGCTGGCATTTTAACGTGCCATATGTCATTTAACTGACAGAAGGACCATTTTGATACAAAAATGAAAGTTTAAGGATAATTTTGGTACTTTTTAAAGGTGAAGGACAATTTTGATGCCAAAGTGAAAAGTTGAGGGACCAAAATGGTACTTAAACAAAAAAAAAAAACAAAAAAAATTTTGTTCAATTCATTTTACAATGTGTCCTTTTTTTGTTGGTGGATATGATTCTGTTCATGATGAACATGTTCTTGATTTCAAGAGTGATGAATCTTGATTGCAAATTTTCTTTATCCATGTTTGATTTGTCTTGGTTTATTTTGAGCAGCGGGGTCATGTTTCTGGGTTGGATCAACCCGACCCAATTCAATATAAAAAAAAAAAACTAAAAAGGTTAAAAAGTAAAAAAATTAATAATATAAAATTATTAATATCATTTATCTGATCAAAGATTGATAATATGATTAATTAATTTTAATTAATGTTAAATTAATTATTTAATTAAGTTAATTATTGTATTAATTAATTTAAATCCTTAATTTTCTTTTCTGTGTCAAAGTCAAAATTATCTTTGTTTATTCCAAATTTTAGCCAAAGCTTTTGTAATTAAGCAATTCAGTCCATGGGTTTCAACTCTTTTCAAATTAGTCCTTTATGTTTTGAATTTAGTCAAATCAGTCCATTTAATTTTCATGTGTGTTTATTGTGCATGCATGTTCTTGATTTTGTCCATTTTAGTCCAAAAGTTTTTTTAATGTTTCAATTTGGCTTATCCTTCTTTCAAACTTACCTATTAAGACTCAAACATAAATATAATAAATAAGTTGAATTAAAACCCCAATTTTAAAGTATGCAACCATGTTTAAACGGAGGATTGTGAAATGTGCGTATGCCCTTCTTCACTCTTAACCGAACCCCCGAACCCGATCTCTGCGCAGACCTATTTTTATGTGACTTGTCCCACATTGTAATTTGGACGAGTGGCGACTCCTTTTTCTTATATTTTTACACTTAATTTTTCATTTATTTTGAAAATTTTAAGTGGTCGTCAACAGTTTGGCGACTCCACTGGGGACAGAACCCAGAACCTCTGGTTTCCATATTCTGGGTTCACGAGAGTCGAGCTAATACTTTAACTTTGGGGAATTTTCAACCTTTGATTTTTTTTCGTGTTTGTTGAGTCTTTGTGAGTCTTTGTTATTTATTGTATGTGCTTGTCGTGTGTTGCTTGTTGTTTGTTTGCTCAAAGTTTTAATGGTTGCTTTGATTGTTTGCCTTTGAGTAGTTATCTTGCTACATCTTGACATGCATCATACCTTGCTAACATGTTCATGCATCATATCATCTCACATGCTCATCCATCATTGATATTACATGCTTATTCATCGTGCATCATGCATCATGCTTACATGCCTACTAGCTTGTGTGTGGATATACTCACCTTTTACACTTGGCTGTGGAGTACTTAGTGAGTCTCTTCCCTCTTGTGCGATTATTTATATCTTGTTGCATGCTAAGTGTTGGTTGCTTAGTGTTACTAACCTTTTGCATTTGGCATGGGAGTACTAGGTGAGTCCCTTCCTGCTATGTAAGTAGGTGTGTTTGTGGATGCTATATCTATTGAGTGTTTTATATGCTTTATTTGATTGCTGTGAGATATATGCTGCTATTTTTGTGGTTGCCATTGTGCAGGTTATTGGAGTGTCATGCCCCTTGCACACACTCACTCTCATTTTGCATTAGGTCTGTGTTTGAGGTGAACCCGACCTCTAGTCTGGAATCCTTACGAATTTGGCTTGGAAGAGCAATTCTTCTCGCTTTGAGGAGTAAGATCGGTTCCCGTTAGGTTGTTTGCATTGGTTAATACAACACTTGATGATGTAATATCATTCTGTGTATTAGCTTTTGGAAATATCTCCCGTTGATTCCAAAAGGATAAATGGTTGAGAAAGCCTAATGCCCTTTAGGAAAACATGTATTGGCTTTAAAGAGATACCAACCCTAGGACATGTTTCCTTAACATCCTACCTGTGAGGTTAGGAATCCCGTGTCTAAGACACAAAGGGGCATTTTTCTTCACTAACCTTGTCTCCGCATATGACGGGTTTTCGTTTTTATATACATTTGAGGTATGATTAGTTATTCATCTTCTGCATTTAAACATCATTCTTGAGGTTAGGTACATTCCATGCACTTTGTATCTTCACTTTCAACCCCATGCATAAAAATAAAAAGAAAAAAGAAAAAAAGAAAAAAAGAAAAAAGAAAAAAAAAAGTTCATGATTGTTTCACATGTCATATGTCCATCCTACTCATTTCACATTAAATTTTCCATGTCTTGAAAATTTCACATGTTATATGCATTGCAAAATATATTTTCATGTTCATCTCATGTGACATTCTCCATTTTGTTCATTTTACGTTTCATTTTTTATCTCATATTTCACAAAAAAAAACTACAAAAAGTAAACTTCCACCCATGTTTAGTACATTACATGTTCCATCTCATATAAAAATTGCACAAAAAAAAAAAATCTCATTCACATGTATTTCACATTGCATTTTCTATCTCAAATTTTCATTCCAAGCATTATTATCTTCATCTCATGATTCTCATATTTCATAAAAGTCGCATAAAAAAATTAAAAATGGTGAAAATGAAAAAAAATGAAAACTTTATCCATAGTGCTAGTTTTCCTCTCATATTTCTTCATCTTTTTACATTTCGAAAAAAAAAAAAAAAAAAAGAGGGGGCATGAAAATGAAAATTTCTCCTATATTCATTTTACATCTCACTTTTCATCACATATTTCATTCCGACCACCACTATTTCCATCTCATAGTTCAAAAACAAGTGCAAATGAAAATTCCATTCACATGCATTTTGCATTGCATTTCGCATTTCATTTCAAGTATTATTATCTCTATCTATCCTATGTTTCTCATATGTCCCACACTTTATAAAAAAAAAATTACATAAAAATGAAAAATCTTGTCCATGTTCGGTTCTCATTCAATCCCATTTTTCATTGCAACTCATATTCAACCTTACATCACATTTTCATCCCATGTCAAATTGACATTCATCTCATGCTCATTTCATGTTTAGAATAAAATCAAATTTGATCCTCATATTTTCTTGTTCTTCAATCAAATCCTTCAAGTCATGATTTTCAAAAAAAAATTGTCCAAACTTTCACTCAAAGTTCTCACCATCTTGCATTTTCTTGAAGTACTTCAAACTTGGGGCACTTTTGGTTTGGGATACAAACTAAAGAAGGAAGATTGGCAAAGAATGCGTGTTATTAAAGCGGAGAAATGCCTTGCCAAACTTCAAGGGAGAAATCCAAGGGATGAACTAATGTGGGTGTCGCACATTAGAGTCACATTTGCATGACCTGTTGAGATTTTTGTGCCTTTCTCTTGATGGATATGTGGTAAAACATATGGATGTTTTGTATGTAGATCCAGAGGGTACTGTTTTCATTGACAGATTGCTTGAAATCGGGGAATGTTCAAAACAAGCAAGGTTTGAGGAAGTGGTGGTGGAAGAGATCACCGATGAAGTCTGTTCTGATGATGAGGAAGACAGTTTTGGCTTCCACAACCTCTTTGGGCTAGTCAACATGACAAATCCTAAGGAAAGGTGGAGAAGGATGCTCGCTGAAAGGGCATTTATGGAAAAGCACCCCAACTTCCAACTCATTCATCATGCAAAAGCTCCAATGGATCCACATGAGTCTGTGCTCCTTAAAACAGTGAAAGAAGAATCATTATGTGACTTATGGGGAAATTTGACTATAAATGCTCTAGATGAGGAAGGATTGGAATTTGATAGGGGAATTTCTCTAGTCAATGGAAGCTCTCAAGCTAATTGGGCAACGGAACTTCTCCCTGTAGCTTTCATCTCCGAGTAAGAAGAGTCAGCCTCTAGTAGTTCTGCTTGTGACTACGTGAAGGGAGGGATTCCACAAGCACCTTTATATTTTTTGAAATTTATGTTATCATACTTCTAGTATTCCCATGCTTTCCTTTTCAATGAAACATGTTGCAATCCTATCTATCATTGTAAACATCATCATGATGCAACTTTACTTGAACTTTTGTTGTACAAACCACTCTTTAATGATATATTTCATGAGGTTATCCAGTAACACATGTTCTTATCTTTGCTTTATTATCATGTGGCCATTTATTTACTTCCATCCAAATTTTCAAGCCTGCTAATGATGAATCTTCAAATAGTGATGCTATGTCAGACTTTATATATGAGATGGTTGATTAGACCTATAATGAAGAAGACAATGAAAGTCTTGATCCTTCTCATGAACTAACTCAAATGTTAAGAGAGGAAGAACCAAAGCCGCAACCAAATCAAGAGACAGAAACCATTAATCAGGGCGCTGAAGATGACAAAAAGGAGATAAAAATCAATACTCAAAGGAGAGAAAAAGAGTTGATAGTCTCAACTTGTTTGATGAGAAAAGATTGGCAACTCTTTGTCATGGCCAATGTTATCAGCAACGAATGGCAGCAACTTACAACAAGAAGGTCAGACCTAGAGTATTTCATCAAGGAGATCCTGTCTTAAGGAAGATCATGCCAAATGAAAGGGACCCTAGGGGCAAATTTGCACCAAACTATGAAAGGCCCTATGTTGTTAAAGAAGCTTTCTACGGAGGAGCACTCTTGTTGAAATATCCAGATGGAACTGATTATCATCACCCAGTAAATGTCGATGCTGTTAAAAAGTATTATTGTTAAAAAAAAAAAAAAAAGGGGTTAGGTTGAAAACCTGAAAGGGCAGCCTAACAAATTAAATGTTTCCTTGACTTAGAAAGTTGGAAATCTAATGATGAAAGGCCTTGTTTCTTTACCATAAACAGTTGAACATTGCCCTTTTGCTTACCCCTTTTGAGCTAGAAAAAGGTAATCATTCAAATTTACAAAAGCCAAAATGATTTTCTTTATATTAACCCACATTAATGATCGGGGAAGTGAAGAGAGGAATGTGAGGGGAATATATGGATTTTGAGCCTTTATCCTTTCTTTCACCATAACCTAACCCAAGCCATGTTACAAGCCTATGAAAAGTCCTTATTTGAGGATTTGAAGCTTTCTATATCAAGGGGCATCCATTAACAAAAAAAGAGAGAGACATCAAAGCTCCAAGCATTGACAGTGGGAAACTTCCTTTTTCTGAGCACAAGAGTTAGTTCATGAAAAGGGGAAAGATTTGAAGTGTCAACATTCAGAATAGGAATGAAATTCTCTTTCATGGACTAAAGGACTGATGGTTAGAGTTGCAAAAGAAAAGATGATCTGAAGCAATGATTTATGGTCTGAATATCTTGAAACCAATTGCATCAAAATTTTCTACTACTAGCTAGACTTATTCTCATCACTGAATGAAGCCCTTTGATCCTCCTAACCCTACTTGAATCTAGTAAAATTGATGTTTGCAATCCTTCTGTTCACATTTATTTCTACTTTATCCTTTCATCAGTATTGGAAATATTAGTTGAGTATGATACATTTATTTCAGTTAATATAATTGCTTATCCAATCAAAATCTCTTGATGAATTTCAAAGGTTGGATGAGAATTACAGGGAGAAAAGAAGCTGAATTCGATAGCCAATGAGTCATCCATGCTAGTTGAAGCTCTAATAGCAAATGAAAGTTCAACTCACTGAGGCAACATTTTCAAATATCTCTTCATGGGAAACAAATGAGATTCTACCTCTTGTGTTCAATAGACTATACATGAATGTGAATCTACTAAGCTGCTACAAAGAGGTGATCACAAGTTGATGAATGCGTATCATAAAGCACATTTAACTCTCGTCAAATATGGGCATCCAATATGTTCAGGGAAGTTTCTTTTCATTTTCACCTTATCTTATGTATGAAGATCATTTCACTTGCATTGGTTCCATTGTCGCTAGACTTTTCAGACATCACTTCCCTTATTCGATCATTCGATCGTTACTCGTTTCGGTCATTCGATTGTTACCCGTTCGGTCGTCCGATCGTTACCTACTCGATCATTCAATCGTTACTCGTTCGGTCATCCGATCGTTTTCCCCCTCGATCATTTGACCGTTACCTACTCGATCATTTGATCGTTACCCGTTCAGTTGCCCAATCGTTACCCCCTCGGTCATTCGACCGTTACCTACTCGATCATTCGATCGTTACTCATTCGATAATCCGATCGTTTTCCCCTCGGTCATTCAACTGTTACCTACTTGATCATTCGATCGCTACTCGGTTGTTTAACCGTTATTGCTCAAGCCTGCTCGGTCGTTTGACCGTAGCTTTCTATCTTGCTCGGTTGTTTGACCGTAGCTACTAACCTACTCGATCATTTGATCGTTACCCCTTCGGTCATTCGACCGTTACCTACTCAATCATTTGATCGCTACTCGTTCGGTCATCCGATTGTTATCCCCTCGGTCATTCAACCGTTACCTGCTCAATCATTTGATTGTTACTCGTTCGGTTATCTGATCGTTACCCCCTCGGTCATTCGACCGCTTCCTATTCGATCATTCGATCGTTACGGTTTCTTAACCGTTTTTACTTTTCTCGTTCGGTTAATTCGATCGTTACGGTTGCATAACCGTTTTCACTTTTCTCGTTCTGTCAATCCAATCGTTACGGTTTCTTAACCGTTTTTACTTTTCTTGTTCGGTTAATCCGATCATTACGGTTGCATAACCGTTTTCACTTTTCTCGTTCGGTCAATCCGATTGTTGCAGTTTCTTAACCCTTTTTACTTTACTCATTCAGTTAATCCGATCGTTACGGTTTCTTTACCGTTTTTATTTTTCTCATTCGGTTAATCCAATCGTTGTAGTTTCTTAACCGTTTTTACTTTTCTCGTTCGATTAATTCGATTGTTGCGGTTCCCTAACCGTTTTCACTTTACTTGTTCGGTCATTTGACCGTTGCGGTTTCATAGCTGTTTTTACTTTACTTGTTCGGTCATTCAACCGTTGCGGTTTCTTAACCGTTGCAGTTTCATAGCCGTTTTTACTTTACTTGTTCCGTCAACGACCATTGCGATTTCTTAATCATTTTTATTTTACCTATTCAGTCATTCGACGTGTTTTACTTTACATGTTTAGTTTAAAAAAAAAAATTGAAAATTTGAGTTATTTTTGTCTTTTCTGTTCATTTTTAACAGAAAGAAAAGAAAAGAGGGGCAACTGTCATAACTCAAATTTTTATAAAAAAAATATATAATAAAAACAAAAAAAATCAAAAATATAAAAATATGAAAATTTCCCTTTTCTTTAACTAATATATCTTTATTTTGTTTCAGGTGCTACATGCAAAAAGAACTTGGAAAATTCCAGAAGAAGAAAGAAGGGACTCAATTGAAGAAATTAAAAGTTGGAGGGGTGAAGTTCATCAAAATGAATT